AAGTGATGCTTAGTCTTAGGACAAGTGATGAAGAGTAGCTTGCAGTGACACTCCTCAAGGCTTTCTGTAGTATGGAAAGGGATTTTCATCTTCCACAGAAAGTTAGAGGCTGTGTACTATGTGCAAACACCATAGCATTGGGTCTTCTGGCCTAATCCACTGTGACAGTAAGACAAAATTCTTTTTGGTGTATTTTTTAAATCTTTTTTATTATTATTATTGTTTTTTGCCCTCCAGCTTAAAGTGTACAAAACGCTGCATAGGCAGTGCTGCATCCACCAAAGCATATTTTATATGGCATGAGTGTCTTGCATGTGTTGCATAGCTGTGGTGTGATTTAGAGAGTAGTTAGTGTGCCAAACCTGCTGGGACAGCTTTGGAGCACTCTGTAATGTATGGGTCAAATCACATATTTGTGTTATCTAATTTGCATTGCATTTTGTGTCTATTCCCTTGACTCAGAGCTTGACCTATGCATTATTTAAGAATACTCTAGTTTCATGATTCTTACAGAGACCTCAGGAGGGAAATAAAATGGCTTAGGCAATCACAGGAACAGGTCCCAGTCTAGCAGAAGAGAGCTAGATTATTTAGCAACTTACCAATATCTACTTAAAAAACACCATTTTTAATATGAATAAAGTCAAACCTACTAGTAGAATGCTATATAAAAAAAAGTTTTTTAAGAAGCAAATAGTGGTTCTATCTCAACAAACCTAGTAAGAATGACTGAGCATCTCTATAAGTAGTCAGGTGACACAAAAGTTTTACCCTCAAATTCTGGGCTATACAACCTAGGAGCACAGCAGAGATTCTCCTCAGTCAGTTATTAAAAAGAGATCACCTCTTCAAAGAGTCAAGGTGTAAAAAAACAGGTGTATTATCTGGAATGGTAAAAGAAGGTGAGACTCAGAGTAATAGTCTCACATTTTTAAATGAAAATATAGATCAAATGTCTCTATTCTGTCAAAACAACCCAAACAACAAAACCAAAACTGAAAAGCCCTTTGCTAAAAAATCCCAGTAGGAAACTGAATAAGTAACTGTAAATTTGATTTTTTTTTTCTGAAGCCCTTTAATATTATGACTGCAAGTTATAGTCATTTTACTTTTATTTAAAAAATTATTACAGTTCATTCCATTAAAGAGAGCAGCCTGTTTGCCAACATTTTTTTCCATGAAAATGGCCTCCTCAATAAATTATCAAGATATATCTGAAATTAAACCTATTATTTTAATGAAAATGCTCCCTAAAAGTTACTGTAAGTATGTTTTTTACATTTCTCTATCCCTTTCAGGACATACACACACAAATATTTATAAGTATCTATACATAAATGTTCTTTCCAAAAATTAAACTTATTAGTCTACTAATGCCAAGAGATGTTAATAAAATGTAGGTTTTCAAAGTAATCCATAAAACTCCCCTTAGATTTTCAATCATCTTAACTGAATAAAAAGTTAATTAACAAACTGTCAATGGAAGAAATCAACCCCCTCCTTCAAAATGTGAGTAATTCTTTTCTTTAAAGCTGTTTAGAAAAAAAATAACCTACACTTAATAGGTCTTGACGTGCAATTATTTCCACATCTTTAAGACTAGAAGTAAATTAATCAAACTCAAACATCATTTTTTCAATCTGTCATTGGTCAAATCAAAATTATACATATTATTGTATAAATGTGCTAACAGTAAACAGGGATGTGGCAGAAACATTACAATTGTGAAATTTGTTTTTGTTTTTTTACTAACAGCCAAATAATAAATGTGGGTTAGAAGCTGAAAAATTATTTTAGTTACAGCAATTTTTGTGATTTAAACTTTGAAAATCACTTTCTGCAAGTATTTCTTTCTAGAGAGACTCATGCTTTCTTTATCTCTGCTGTAACTTAAATCTTAACTAAATTTTTTTTCTATGTTGTCAGGTACTGTGTTAGTTCACTTGCATCATATTGATATTTAATATATTAATATTTAACTTGCAAGAGTCACAAATATTTCTATTTTAATATAAACAATATATAAGTATTATATTTTCTTTCAAGATTTGCACATATTGTCAATATTTTAATTACACTTGATAACGAAAAAGGTTATAAACTGTATTGAGAAAGATCCAAAATAATTTGCTTTGAAAGTTGTTAAAAGGAACCATGTGTAATGTCAGACAGATAGGAAGACCCTGCTGCATTTTTGCAAAAGAAATTCACCCTTCCAGTGAAGAAATTTTTCCTCGTATCCAGCCTAAACCTCCTCTGGTACAACTTAAAGCCATTTCCTCTTGTTCTGTCTCTTGTTGCCATGGAGAAGATGCCGATCTCCTCTTTGTTATGACCCCTTTTTAAGAAGCTGTAGAAAGCAATACGGTCCCCAATGAGCCCCTGTCCCTCTCTTAGTTAATTAATAACTAATAGTTAATATCCGGCATATTCCATAGTTAGAGTTAGAATATATGGCATATTCTATAGTTAGTAACATATTCCATAGTTAGTTGGTTAAAGGTCACTGGGTGTTTAGATCTCTAGCTAGGGGTGGGATAAATCATGTTCTGGGGATTTCGTTTGCTTTGTAAGATGCTTTGCCTTTGCCACAGGCATTTTTCTCTTGGGCAAAAGCCTTTATCATAATTTAACCTCCTTTACTGTCCTACAAGCTCTAGTGTGTGGCTGACTGCACTCTAGAAATGAACCAGAGAAGATTATGCTATATTTTAAACACAGACTCTAAAACTGAGGCTATCTATTTTAAATGCTAAAAAGCATTCAACTTTATTCTGAGCTCCTCTGTGCCAGGATGCTCTCCATGGTAACAGGAAATTGTGGTCCAATTAAAGGATACCCTAATAGGGTAGTAGTAACAGTGTAATGCCTTAATAGTGTAGTATAGTGAGAGTTATCAATACAAAACTGAATAGAGTGCTTTTTGTCTTAGTTTGAGCTATCTCTGGACAACCACTGAATTTTAAGTGATTTGCAACAACAGGCATGAAGCAGACCACTTTCACTTAAGAATGAGTCAGGCTCACCCAGATTTTCTTGACTCTTCATTCAGGCTTCAGAAATTGCTCTGATTTTAGCCTCAAGTTTGACACTAAACCCAAACTGTAGTGCTTGGTAGGATGTTAGAGTGCAAGCTAGAAGGCACCAAACTTTTATGAATTGCATAAGCCAGCTCAGTAGGAAAATGTTCTAATTGCAGAAAATGCTGACTTCATATGGGATGTATTTAGAGGTTTAACACGCTTATTAACAAAATGACTCCTCAATTAACATTGTCTCTACTAATTAACAAAAACACCAACAGACTAGTAATGAGACACCCACCCTTACAACAGGCAGGCGAGAACTGTAAGACAAAAAAGTGTGAGTGGCTGCCAGGGTGAAGAGGAGTCATGGGAATGCAGCTGCAAATCCTCACAGAACAGCTATGAAGGCAATGAAAAATCACTGCTGAAGTAAAGGGATAAAAGAGAGATGCTTTTTCCCTGCCATAAAATAGAAAGATAAAAAAATAAAAGAAAAAGAAATCAGAAGATAGAAGGTAACATTAAGAGAAGAGAAATGGAAGTCCGAAAATCAACACAGTTTTAGGATAACTGTATTACTTTTAATTTATTCAAATTATTTCATCCATTATATTTTTATTGGAAGAAAATTGAAAGGTGGGGAAGAGAGACTAGGCATTTAGTAGTAGGGAGAAAAAATCATTTTCATGATATGAACAGCATAAAAATAACTTATTACTAATATTGACTGCTGGCATTCATGACGGAGGAAGAATGATCATGGCTACAGGTAAATCAACATTGCTTATTGCCATGAAAATGGGTAAGATACTATCGTTTCAAGATATCAACTTGAATCAAATGTATGACAAATTGGGAATAGAAGAATATCTTCTTGAAATGCAAATAACTTTACCCTTGCATTTTAACTTTAAATAAATGAAGCTATTTTGAAAGTGTATAAAGTTTAAGGAATGACCAATTACAACTGAGAAATTTTCCTTCCTGTTTTACTTTAGCAAAATTTCACTGAAATCAATTAAATGTAAAAATTACATTATACTAAGGGAATTCTGATTTCAGGTCCAATTGCTTCCATCTTCTTCACTTTTTCCAAAGTTGTGCAAAAAGAATTTTTTTATCTAGAAAGCAGAAAATCGTGGGAGAAGAAACAAATAGGGTTAGATACAAAATAAAATTGAGGCATCTGACCTCTACACATATTAAACATCCCTATGTAAAGCACAGGGAAAAATACAAGTCTCAGATTTCAGTTTTCAGACTGAGTGCCAAGTTGTCTAGGCTGCCCATTAAAAAGTGTTGAGTATATCCTGCTTTCTAAGTTTTTCTTTACTTCAGTCCTTAAGGTCCCTCTGCATTGAGCAATTTGTAGTTTCAGGACATTATATGTAGTAATTTCAAAGTCAGAGGAGAGTCTACTGCATATTTCTTTCCAAATTCAGAGACAATGGTAATCAAGCTCATTTATTTTCTTCCTTCCTGTTTATGATAGACTAAGTTAGCCATTTCAACACTTATATAGAGAAAAAAAAATATGTCCAAGTTTTTCCCTCAAGAGATTCAAACTTAGATCCAAGAACTCTCAGATTGCACTGCTATACAGGGAAGATAAAAACTGACATTCTCATTCCTTTTTGTAGAAGTCCTCTTCATCTGTAATTAAAATGAATTAGCCCACAGAGATAAAAACACTGAAAATCACTTCTCCCTAAGTGTTTATTTATAAACTCGGAGATATTCAAGATTACTCACCTAGTGTGTCATTTGAGATGACTCATATAACTCATCAAGACTGCAGCTGCTACTTCAACAGAAGCAGATTTCTTGTAGGACCTGTGCCATATTTCCAATTGTGTATAGATGACTCAAATATGCATTTCAAACAACACCTGACAACAGCAATTAACAGGCAGCAATTTCTACCTGCAACTAAACCATTGTGCCAAATGCATCTCAAAAATTCTATTCATCTACCTGAGATCCACAGCCTGTAATTATATTTCTGGGAACAAGGATGGGATCCATCATAGCCAAATGCAGATCTCTAAAAATTAAGCCTAATCTAAGACAGCCTTCTGGATTCCCTCCACATCCAGTTGTGCTCTATGGTAGCCAGGAGCCACTGCCTTCTGGAGTGGCTTGTCTTCATGAACTGCAAACAGAGTAAGACAACTATGAGGTTAAAACAAGAAAGACTAAATTAAGTGAATCTCAATCATTCCTTTAAAGAGATAGAATTACTTTTGTATTTCTACCATTTCAGATAGAATCAGGAGTTAGAAGTTTTCATCCTGAAGCAGGAAAGCTTAATCCTCATATTTTACACCCATAGTCAGGTATGGAACAAATCTGCAGCTCCTACAGATGAGCCTCTGTGCAGGAAATAATAAAAATTCACAAGACTAAAAAGAAAACCAGCAACAAGTCTATAAAAAGAACATGGTTGCAATGATGTTCCAGTGAGGGAAGGATGAGTTCATTATACAGCCGCAGACTGGTTTTTTTTAGAACCAGATCTTCTTGAATTCAATTTTAAAGATAATATTTCTTTTCCCAAATATTCTCTGACATGTTGTGACTTTTGTTACTATTGCAAGATGAATCCTTTTTTTTATGCAAAGAACCCCAAAAAATGTATACTGTTAGCTGAAAATTATTACTTCTGTTTCAAAGTAAGACAGATTTCTCTCTGGTTGCCTAGAGCATATTATTATCACAGGGCTTACAGCTTTCTTCTAAAGTTAAATGGTCTTCTCCAATAATAACAAAAAGAATTTGACATGAACAGCTGCAAGATTAATTTTGGGAATACCAGTAGATAGTTTCTGATACATATTTCTGCCGCTTTAACCTTTCACGAAACAAGTTTGCATTTGGGTGCACATCAAGGCAGTCCTTGGAGTACACAGATGGTTCTGTAAACCGTATGGCACCAAAATCTCTTCACTGTACTTAGCTGACATGGAAAATTCTAGGCATTATTGAAAAAAATGAAAAATATTGTGGGTAAAATGTCTGTTATTAATGTTCCAGTGAGAATATTTTATTTGTATCTGAGGACCATCCTTAACAACAATTAGATAAAATTTTGTAGCATCTCATTTGTTTGTTCATGATCAGTTTGTTCATGGTTAAAAGCAAATTAAAGTATTTCAGCTGGTGTTGCCTTTTACTGAACAGGGGAAAATGACCTGGCGTTCTCAACTGAATAAGCAGGATTCAGCATCTGGGAGGCAATGATTTTTATCATGCATTCAGTGTAATTTTTACTGTACACCATGGTTATGATGGGCCAGGGATTTGAGGTCAAATTTCTAATTTGAGGTCAGACTTTCAAATTCAATAAATAAATTCATAATTAATGAAATATCAAAATCTGCTTTGGTTCACTTTTAGAGGAACAAAAATCAGTTCATTTGTATCCATGTTAGCAATTTCCGACAATGATGGCATATATTCAGATACTAAATTCATCAGAATATTAATCACATATCAAATGACGGATAGAGTATCTTATTTTTAGTTATGCCTTCTACAAAACATTGCTCCTACATTCTAACTTCACTGCATGAAAAATTATCTTCAAGAGGAATGGGCGTCTAAAGTAGTGTAGTTTGCTGCTGTGCAATATGTTCTTAGGTTTTTCATATAAATCAGAATTATTCAAGCTCAGAATAATTGCTGTTTTGGTAATCAATTTAGATAATTATTCTATGCTAATTTGCCTAGTAGTCATGCTCTAGGTACTTTCTCTAAGAGTCAGTGATTAAGTAATACTCAAGATGAGCCTCAATATAAATTATTTCTTTATTTTAGAAAGGGAAAAGCAAAAATAATTTGCTTCATATGCATGGTAGTTATATTTCAGGATTGCCAGTATTCATGCATTTTTAAAAATCTTGTTCTCCTGCCTGAAACTATTCCAAAATGTATCTATTTAAAGTTAACTTTAATGGAGTAGAATGAGGAAGCTCTTGGTGGGGATAGGTGGAAAATAATTAGTTTTGCTTACACAAAAAAAAAAATCTAATGAATTTCATGGAAAAAAAATCTACTTGCCCTAAGCTGACAAAGAACATCTTTGAAATATGGTATAGTCCTTTAATTGCCCTAGATATGTATCAGTATATTCATCTATATACTGAAAAATCATTAAGCTTTAAAAGAAGCAGAGTTCACACTTAATTAGGATCTTGTGAGTTATCACCTCAGTTTTCTGCAGGTTTCGTCTGTGCTAGACCTGCCCTATCACAGGGTAGCAGAAGCTCCTTGAAATTATTCTTATCTTCAGTAATTCCCAGCACTCTAAAAAGATAATTTGCATCTGGAGCACATACAATCGCATTTCTAGTATCTCCTCTTTCTTCCCTTCATGATGTCTCTTGTGGTTGCTCACTTCTTCTCTAAGTTAGCATTCCTGCCATAGAATTCCGACACTTATGGCTGTAAAAGCAACATACGCTAGATTTTAGCCATAAGATCAGTTTCCGTTATACATGTTATGCCTTGGTATTTACTCACTGACATCTGCATGGTAGATTAAAGCAGGAATTACAAGCCAAACAGATAAAACCAAAAAGCTGGACCTGGGAGTGAGGAGATGAGAAGAGGAAACAAAGCAAGGCAGATCCAGTAGAGGTGAAAAGCATGGGATGGTTTAGAGAGGCAGGAGGGTCACTGTGAGTCATCCAAAATCAGTGGGAATAGAAGCCAGAGTGGAGGGAGATCACAGGCTCTGGGGCAGAGGAGTGTGAATTTAGGTAACTCATGAACATAGTGCTCCATGTAACACCTACACATCAAGAAAGAAGACCGCTCAAACTCTAATATTTGGGGAAGATGCTTTAAACAAAAAAATATATGAAGCACGAAGTATATAATTTACTGAGAGTATTCAAAGAAAACAGAAAAAAGATTATACATTTGTTGCTGTTGAGGCAGGACTGGAATGAGAAGACTCTGACTCAGAAGGTTGCTGAGAGTAAAACTCTGATTTATTTAAAATATACTGCTTTTTTATATAGAGCTTTGTAAGGATTAAATCTATTGGTTCTGAAGTGAAAACAACTTATAGCATTGGTGCAGAGTGCTTGACACACAGTGATAGAACTTAACTATAAACAATGTGAAGAACAAGAGAGATAAAGAATTATTTACATTCTCTCCAGCTCTTTCTCAGGCATCTGCCTGGCTAGAAACTCTCAGTTTCGTTCTTTGACTGAATCTGAGTCCCACATACATTTGCCTGTAAGGGACTACTTGTATGTGTATGCTTGCCTGAAGATGCTAATCTCTTGGAGTCCTTACCATACCTACATTTCCAGGCTATAGACTGATATAAAAATCTAACATGACTGTATTAAGGTCTGTGAAAACTGTGTCAGTCTCTGTGTGTCAGTCCACTGCCGAATGTTTTAAACCAGTGGTGCTGAATTTTAGCATTTCTGGGCATAAAACTTAAATGCTGAAAAAACTGAAATTAGACACTACTGATGAACAAGTCATCATCAGACAATATTTGTTCATTTTCCCCCATATTTTTATGGTTAGAAATTTTCAAGTTCTAGTGAAACTGCCTTCGCTGTTTTTTCACTGTTCACTGTCTTGTTGGACAGTAGTCATTTAAAAATGAGACAGCAATAATTAAAATGTAGACTTCTGGGAATGAGTTTACATGATATTTTTATTGGGTTTGTAGGTTTGATTTTTTTTTTTTCTTTTTTTCTGCAGGTAAGCTGTGTTTTCTGGAACAAAGAACTTTTAAGCAGGAGGTGTTACTTAGAAAAGGGTTTTACAAAGACAGCCCTCACACACAATATGGAGTGCACCTCTTAAAACATTGATTTTACTTAAATAAATGGGATATAGCAAAGAAGAAAAAGTAATGGCAAATAGCAAATTTACTTTCTCTGAAGTTTAAATTAATGATGCAGAGAATCAATGCTTCATGGTGAGACAAACTGCACAGCCTTCACATACACAAAACTCCCCACATTATCTCCTCTGATCTTATCCTTCTGGTAGGAGCTGGCAGTAACTTAAATGTAGTAGAACTTCCACTTATGTAAAATTCATGTGTCTGGTTTAAGACAACATCCTTAAAGCTAACAAGATGCTTTCCTGGGCCAGGGTAGAGTGGTTAACATCTTGAAGAATGTGTAATAGAAAGAGAAGGACATTGTCTCCTTTTTTACAGTATTCTTCCTATGACATTTTATTACTCCAGTGTTCCACCCTCAGTAACAGTAAGCTGTGTGTAAAGAAACCAGTTGCAAATCTTATAAAACCACAGTATTTGTTTTGATGCCTATGCTCCACCAATCTTTATGACAGAGAATAAGGAGGCTGCAATGATTCTCAACCTGACAAAATACTAGGTATTAACAAAATTTTACCATTTTCCATGCTTAGTATAAATTAATTTCATGCTTCTGTGGGTCTGTTTTACTACTTTGGACCCATTACTCAGGACACCTATGGCATCTCAGACTCATTAATCTCGTTAAACTCATCTGGGAGGTTAATTTCAGTCTTTTGATACTGTTTTATTTGAGTATTTCCAAAGAACTGCTTAAATGTAGAGATGAATCAATATGATCAAAAGTAGATGCTTTTCACATATCTTAACTTCTAAAAGCATGTACAATTTTATCAAAATAATAGAAAAAAAACAATTAAATGCAAAGCAAATAGAGTAAATTTAACTATCTGACTTGTTTTCTTTGTCCTGTTGAGCAGTAACCTACCAAACATCTATGTACCAGATATATAGATTTTTGACATCAGAATGTTTTTGTTGTACAGCCAGTATGAAAGATGTTTTATTAGTCTGGAAGGTTAACATACGTTCAGTCTTTTCTCTCCAAAACATTTGCCCTCCTACTAATTAGTCGTAATACTCATTTCAAGCACTATAAGTAGTGATGAATCTTATCTACTTAAATTATATTTATTTCAACTCACAAGCCAAGTGTTTTAGTTCAAGATATAAATAATTTATCTCATGTAGCAGGTAAAACATTGACATTTATTTAGCTATTTAAATCTCCCTTCTGTTCTGAGGCTTGGAAAAAGGTGCCATTTTAATATTTTCCAGTTTACTGGTAGAACTAGCTCAGTAGAGTTAAAAGGCTGTTAAAAGTAATT